AAACAAGATTTAGATGCCAATGCTGCTAGAATGCTAAAGGATTAAAAAGCACCTGTAAAAACACTCAGCATCTACAGAAGCCAGACATGCAGGGGGTTACCTGTGGGCCACCCGAGTGCCTTGACAACACTAGACTCACACTGGTGCGCAGCCACCCAAACACAGCAAGTCAAACACTAAACCACACAATAAAACTTAAAAAAAGTTAAACATGCACACACAGCTATTACACACACATGCAGTAAAGGGGAAGGGGGTTCCCAAAATCCAACACGCTGTCCGTCTTGCAAAACTCTAAAAAGAGGGAAAAAATGGCTAATAAGCTGAGGGAAATCATGCAGCCACAAAAAGAGAAAATAGCCACACCCGTAGCAGACTTTAGCAGTTGGCAAAACATTCACAGAGCCCATCCACCTGTAACAATCTAATAAAATAAGAATCCACTTAAAAATACAAGTATGAACAACAGCAATTGATCAGGCAGGCAAAACATCAGTGGCTAAAGGCTACAACCCTCAACCAGTGCAGTAAATAGACAACCCAGCTCTGACTCCACCTCACTGAAGGATTAGACGTTTAGGGCCACTCAGGGTTATCAACCTCCAATGCCTTCTCTGCTGTGAACTTTAGCATGACAGGCTGTGCAGCATACAGGGTCTGGACAACAGGTGGCTTAAAATTGCACAAAAAACCTTAAGTTAAGATTTCCCTTAAAGTCTGAGTTAAGGTTTCCTTGCCTGCTCCTGGAGAGACAGGGGGTGGAGCTTCCCTGAGAGCTTTCAACTGATTGTGGCATTACTAGGCAAAAAGCCTGCCTCTCACCCTATCACGTAGCCTAATGTTAACTGAAAATGTTAAAGTAATAGTTAACATAATCGTAGATAGTTCCCTTCCACTCTAAAAAGCATGAATATCACTAACTTTAAAGCACACATTCCTGCGTGTATGCTTTCATAAATAAAACAAACAAACTAATTGACAGTTAAGTTTAACATATCGCTTTGCCCACTAATACTGTTATTTTGAGCAATTATGATACAGTTTGTGATGCTACAGTGACTTTATGTTTCCATTTTTGATTGCTTTTGATTGGAGTGCTACAGTATCTCCTAAACCATTTACACGAGTAAACTCTGTAAAAGCTAAGACATTTAAGTTTTATTGGTGCAGCCCGATTTAGTAAATTGCTAGTTTGAAACTAGCTAGTTACTAAGAACTTCACTTCAGTAAAGACTTCACACACAAACGAATAGCTAGCCAATGGGTTTTACAAAGGCACTGGGTACATTTTACGTCAATTGGGCCACATTTGTTTTGAAAAGGTTCAACCTAGTCTGTGTTAGGGCAAAAACGTCTTCATTATTACAAATAAATATTTCCAGCAAATCTCTGGCAAAGCTATCACTTTCTCAAGCAAAGAAAAAAAAACAGACTGTCCCCTGGGAGTACAGAACAGTGATTGTGAATACAGCAATGTTTTTGTTATGTCTCATATGTCTATTGTTTCCATGTTTGATATTAAATGCATTTATTCAATTTAATTAAATGCATATAAGGGCACTAAGAGAGCGCAGACTTCTGCCAAAACCAATAGTCCAGTCTTCTACAAATCTATAAGCACAATCATGATATACACTCACCTAAAGGATTATTAGGAACACCATACTAACCTGACCCCCTTTCGCCTTCAGAACTGCCTTAATTCTACGTGGCATTGATTCAACAATGTGCTGAAAGCATTCTTTAGAAATGTTGGCCCATATTGATAGGATAGCATCTTGCAGTTGATGGAGATTTGTGGGATGCACATCCAGGGCACGAAGCTCCCGTTCCACCACATCCCAAAGATGCTCTATTGGGTTGAGATCTGGTGACTGTGGGGGCCATTTTAGTACAGTGAACTCATTGTCATGTTCAAGAAACCAATTTGAAATGATTCGAGCTTTGTGACATGGTGCATTATCCTGCTGGAAGTAGCCATCAGAGGATGGGTACATGGTGGCCATAAAGGGATGGACATGGTCAGAAACAATGCTCAGGTAGGCCGTGGCATTTAAACGATGCCCAATTGGCACTAAGGGGCCTAAAGTGTGCCAAGAAAACATCCCCCACACCATTACACCACACCCAGCAGCCTGCACAGTGGTAACAAGGCATGATGGATCCATGTTCTCATTCTGTTTACTCTACCATCTGAATGTCTCAACAGAAATCGAGACTCATCAGACCAGGCAACATTTTTCCAGTCTTCAACTGTCCAATTTTGGTGAGCTCTTGCAAATTGTAGCCTCTTTTTCCTATTTGTAGTGGAGATGAGTGGTACCCGGTGGGGTCTTCTGCTGTTGTAGCCCATCCGCTCAAGGCTGTGCGTGTTGTGGCTTCACAAATGCTTTGCTGCATACCTCGGTTGTAACGAGTGGTTATTTCAGTCAAAGTTGCTCTTCTATCAGCTTGAATCGGTCGGCCCATTCTCCTCTGACCTCTAGCATCAACAAGGCATTTTCGCCCACAGGACTGCCGCATACTGGATGTTTTTCCCTTTTCACACCATTCTTTGTAAAACCTAGAAATGGTTGTGCGTGAAAATCCCAGTAACTGAGCAGATTGTGAAATACTCAGACCGGTCTGTCTGGCACCAACAACCATGCCACGCTCAAAATTGCTTAAATCACCTTTCTTTCCCATTCTGACATTCAGTTTGGAGTTCAGGAGCTTGTCTTGACCAGGACCACACCCCTAAATGCATTGAAGCAACTGCCATGTGATTGGTTGATTAGATAATTGCATTAATGAGAAATTGAACAGGTGTTCCTAATAATCCTTTAGGTGAGTGTATGAAAAAAATTATTAATTATTAAAAAATTATTTGTGTGTCCACTACGTAATTGAAAATGTAATGAGTTTGTCATTTGTCAGTTTTTTCTGTAATCCTGGTGACAGACAAACAAACTGCACTGAAAACCTAAAATCCTAGCTAGAAGTAATGATAAAATCATGGACTAAAGCAGGCTTCAATCCAAAAGTGTTCAGATGTATAAAGCAGATACAAACCTAGTATGAATACTTTCATTTGATTAATATAAAGTAGGCTAATTATCAATTAAATAACTGCTTTAGAATTTCAGTTCATTTAGTCAAATTTGAGAAAGATTCTATTCTGTTAAAAAAAACTTTATGAATGTTAAAATGAAATGGTAAGTTTTAATATAAACAGGAAAATATATCCATCACATCACTATTACATACATACAAATAATTAAAGAGTAAACAATGATATGAACAAAAAACAGGGTAACTAAACACCAAAAGAATTGACACAGTTTTCTCATTTCTTTAGATGATGATAGGCTATATTGATTTCCTTTATTGCACAAAGAAAAAGCCCCCGGCCACATATCTTGAAATAGGTGCGTTCGAGATGACGGCTCCTGACTTTGCCATCTAATGTGAGCTGCAGGTGACTGCAGGGGCGGGGTATAAAAACGGCGCCGTCATGTCGGACACATTGTACCTGCATCAGCTTGCTGTGAGTTGAGATCAATGACTGGCCGTTTTTATAACCCGCCCCTGCAGTCATGTGCAGCTCACATTAGACCAATATGTCGGCGAAAGTCAGCCGCCGTCTTCTCGAACGCACCTATTACCTCCAATCATGTTACACACAAGAGTCCCCCTAGAGGCTGCATATCAGCATTCTCATGATGTCAACAAAACCGTTAAACCTAGCTGCAATAGTGTGCATGTTACTTAAAACATTATATTCACAATGCAGCTGTCAAAACACCCAGATAAAGCTCTGTCAGCAAGCAAAAAGTACATGACGACCCTTGTCACCCAAAATATAATGATATACAGAAGGCTAATCCATTTTATCTTTAACCACAACTGCTACGTGTCCATGTGAAGGCTTGGGGGGAAAATTAGCGTCTCCATTTTTCTGTGGAGAAAAAGAATATCGTCTGTTTATATCATGATTTTAAACATGTATTCAGTGGACTTTCATGAAGAACTGGAAGTAAACTCTTTTACCTCTGGTGACCTCAAAGCAGTTCTCACAGTGCACCATGCGTTTGTAGATCCACATGCTGTCCCCAGCTTTCATGTGACCCAGAGTGCTGTTACACACCTCACACTGCCAAAACACAAACAAACACTCAGCACTGAGAAACACACTGAGCATCCAGCTGCACAGTTCCTGATAACATCTTGTTGCCAGTGGTGGAAAGTAATTAATATTTACTCAATTACTGTACTTAGGGACAATTTTAACTCTAGATCTAGTTATGCAAAAAATGTGAATGACAAAGTTTGGAATTGCAGGGGATTTAAGATTTTATATACAAAATATAACATAACATAATGCATTATTACTGATTAAATGACAAACAGTAAAAGTCTTTTCAGTCTCTACAGTACATTAACCAGCTACAACGTTAAAATGCTGCCTATATGCTGCCAGTAGTAACCAATCACTTAAATTTTTCTACTTATGTTGTTTTATTTACTTGTTACAGAGTATTTTGCAGTGTGAAACTGCCAGTTTTACTGAAGCAAAGCATCTAAATACTTCTTTAACCATTTTTTGTTGTTTTACGGAAGGAGAGGCCAAACAAATCGTCTCACTTTAAAGCAGGAGGCGTGGCATTTGATCTGCATGTCATCCAGGACCATCTTGGCATCACCAGTGAAGGGCTTACGGCAGATGGTGCACAGGTCTTTCTCAAGTACCGTCCTGTATGAAGTTGACAGAAGCGTTTTACAGTTTACTAAAAGAACATGATCACATCTCAGTTTATTCTGGACCTTGGAAAAGTAATCTTAGCCCATGCTCCATACAATATGTAGGTTGAAATCTCTAGGAAAAAGCTAATAAGTGGATCTTGAGTTAAAGTTTTAAAGTTTTAAGTGGATCTTGAGTTAAAGTTTTAAAGTTTAGGGATGGCAATGTCTGTCTATTGGATGGTTCACCACTTTGGTATTGGATGGACTGTACTGACAGTTTTTACAGATATTCGTGGTCCTCTTAAGTTGAATCCTAATAACTTTGGTGTTTGTTCTTTCTGCGGTAAAGTTGCTAGTACACTGTTCATGTTTAGGGCAGGCAGTGATATTTTGGCACAACGATAAAAAGAATGACCCTAACCAACATCTTTTTAAGTGTTCACAAACGAGACATCACTATCATGACACCTATTGGATTGGCGAGAAATTTGAAACAGACATTCATGGTTCCCAGATGGGGAATTCCAATGGCTTTGGTGATCCCCTGACTTTTCCTCTAGTGCCACCCTGAGGTTGACATTTGCAGTTTTGAGTGAAATATCTCAACAAATGTTGGATGGATTGCCATGAAATTTGTTTTCAGACATCCATGCCCCTTTCAGGAGGAACTGCAATAATGTCGGTGATCCCTTAATTTTTAATGTGGCATCACCATCAGGTCAAAATTTCAATTTGTCCAATACTAAGGTTTATGGCCCTAAACCAGCACAATTAACGGGATGCCCAACATCCTTGGGATGAAATTTGTGTTTTGTGCTAATTAGTATGCCAACACACAATATAGTGAGTGTAGCAAACATGATACTTGCTTAATAACATCATGTTAGCATTGCCACTGTGAGCATGGTAGAATGCTGAGGCTAGCATTTAGCTTAAAGCGTCACTGTGCCTGAGTACAGCCCCACAGAGCTGCTAGTATGGGTGAAAGGATGTTGTTGCACTTTTCCTACCTCTCAGGAGATGCATACACACTCGTCATGGAGGATTTAGAGTAGATTGGATCTGCCAGACTGTCATCTGACCTGCTGTGAGACAGTTTCATCAGTTTCTACAAGTGACACATTGGGTTTACGTTCTTGTCATGTTTGTAGACCAATACTAAACCCAATCATATCAAATACCTGCTGCTCCTGTATGATGTTGTGGTGTAGACAGAGGGACTGGTGACACTGTTGTACTCATAACTATACAAAGACAAAATGAACAAGAGTTCATATGTGAGATTTAGAACATTTTACAATGAAAAGAAAAAATCATTACGTAAGGTCTTAGTTTGCTCTTACCTGGAGTCTGGTCTGGAGTAAGAGTAACTCTTACGGTCGCTGCTGTAGTTGTCTCTTGTGTGTGCAAACACAGAACAGATTAGGGATAACAGAAATACTGCAGCCACATTGTATATGCAGATACACTCCTGCAAGAGGGGTCCGTTTGATTGTATGAGATGTTCATCGTCAAATGATTACCTGCTGCTACTGATGGTGTAGGAGGTGGTGCGGGTAGTAGGTATATCATCAGTGTACGAGCTGTAGCTGCTTGTTAAAGAGGAAAGAAATAGGAATGAGTTGGATATGATAGCAACTGAACATTGCTTTTATTATTTTACATTTTATCATGTATTTATTTGCATCTTTATAATGATATAACCAAAGATATCATGTTATAATTTATGTATCGCAAATAATCTTTTTGGTATATCAGTTAACTCAATAAAGCTTGTTAATTCTTGAATAAATATTAGCAAAACTAACAGGGGTTGATTAGATAGTTGTTGTTTTTTTTATTTAAGTTAATTATAAAAATCTATAGATAGCTAAAATCAGAATAATTTATTTCTTGGATTTGACAACAACATTCAATAATCTACCAACACAACACTAAGTAGATTATACTCACTATATATACACACACAGTTCTTAAGGGGGCATCTTAACACCATTTTATCCTAGCTGATTCTTTAAAAGTTCTGAGGTGTTGGGTCTCTAGTAGTTTACAGTGCATAGCACAGTAGTCAGCATGTTTACCTGCTGGTTCTGAGGGTGGAGGATGGCGATGCCAGAGTTGGGCTTCCTCCTCTAAATGGCACAAAAACAATGTCAGAAGAAAGTGGGATGACTATACTGTACATACAAAGAACTATTGCACATCTCAATCATTCATTTACAGCACTCACCCTCGGCTGCTATCCACTGTGACTATCTCTCTCTTGTGATGCTGGAACTGCTGAGACAGTGACAATAGGATGTTTTCACTGACAGGACAATTAAATGGTTGTGTGTTTTTTTTAAGTTATTCACTGAGACATCTCACCTGACAGGAGAAGACAGATTAGATGTCATGTATTTTGGCAGGAGGGTGTCATACAGGTCATCCTCAGCCCTGTCAAGACAACAATATTGTGAATATATGATGATTATGAGTGTTTGTGAGTGTTTTTCAAAAACACGTGTTAAAAAAATGATTTATTAAGGTTTATCTTACGTGGAGGAAGTCTTTGTCGTGGTTGTATTTTTAAAACCATCTCTGTAAAAACAAAGCAAGACAAAATATTTTTATCTGACTCTCTAGTATTTAATGTCAATGTCATGGTGTAAAAGTTGTCTTCCAGAAACTCACCCAATACCACTGCTTTTCACTGTCACAGTCTCAGTACTGGACACCGTTGTTTTGCTGTGAGGAAGAAAATATATGTTATTACAGTATATAATTACTGATTTCCTGGTGACATGGTCAAAATAATTGATTTTCTAGGCTTGAATGAATAAAAATATCACCTGTCCTTGGGTGATGAAGCATCCTTGATAGAATATGAGATGAGTTTGTCGGAAACGTGGTCCCCCGCTCTGCACAGAAATACAGGTTCAATTGTAAGTGATATACAGATGTATGAGTATATTAAATTGAGTAAGGTTGCTTGTTATTGCATATGGATTCAACATTTCTTTTCCAAGAAACATTCTGTTGTTTGTTTCTGGTAGGACATGGCCCACTGGTAGGACAATATTACAATATCATCATTTTACTTAGTCACTGTTATCCTGGATCTGTGGCTGTAAGGCACATAGATACACTGAAGGGGGCACCAGGCAACTCACACACCAGTCACACACCTATAGGCCATCTGGGCGTCCAATTAGCCTACATGTCTCTACAGATAGAAAATGCATTACGTAAGGGCTCAGTGACGTTACAGTACATGGAGAATATCCATGGGCAATATTAGCCTATTTTTTTTTAACAATCCCATGAAACCAACAATGCGTTAGGCTGTCTCTCAGTACTTAATGACTTGTCTGCCCAGTCTGAAGCACTCAGCCCCAAGCCCAAGGCCATAGGTTTTGTTTGAACATTGCCGGAGACACATATAAAGCAGGGGGTCTAGAGGTGGTGACAATTTTGAAGCACTTCATATCCTGCATTCTGGTGATTTCTTTGCACCAATTTCTGCCTTTTCTGCATCAATTTGTGGTGGAAATATTTATAAATGTAAAAGGAAACAACAAAATTCAGGCGGCAAGTGACAATTCAAAATCTGAAAATATAATAGAATATAATGCAGCTAACCTTTCAAGCATTCTGTATTGCTTTAAAACATGTATTTGCCTATCAATCAACTTTTCTCATTTAATATCATTCCTGCTGAGTTAACATGCATGTAGACATGAATGAGTCTTGCTTTCTCTTATGTGTCTTTTGTTTGGGGAAGTAACCGATTTAAATGTGCATGTTGCACCTATTCACGTCAATGATAAAACCATTTTATTTCATTTATTAACACCTGGGCTTTAATAGGTCCTGTGTTTCTGCTCATGTTCTAACCTTTCTGTACATCCAAAATCTAAGCTTCTTATGTGTATATACTGACATTTTGATTAAAAATGTTGCACTATTATGAGAATAAAGTTGTAATTCAATAAGAATAATGTCATTATATTTTAAAAAACATATATCTACATGCCCTATGTATTAGCCTATATTATTGCTCTGCTCTCTCTATAGTGAGCTGCTCTTCATCGGTGGTGGAAAACCAATACAAGCACCTCCAATAATGTGCAGCCCACACCCGCTTCAGTGGGAAACATCCTGGAATAGTGAGACAGAGCAAAGGTGTCTGTATGCGAAGGGGATGCACCACTGCAGTCCAAACTCTTTATAAGTCTAAATAACTGTAGACTGCTCGGAAATACTAAAACATGAACATATGACTTGAATGAACCTATTTGATTACAACTTTATATCACAGTATTATGACTCACTATTATTTTATTCCAACAGTGGCCCTAATACTCCATTGTAGTTGACAGACTACAATTCCAGCTTTTGGTGTATGCTAATATTCTCGCTTATTTGTGGCTGACTGTTAATCATTTGTCTACCAAATACATTGACTAGACAATGACAGAAAACAGTGGTTATATTTATTTATGTTATTGCTCGAAGTAATATACTCTGCTAGTATATTATTCAGTAGTCATTAGATATACCTAATTCTATGCCCTTGTAAAAGCCCATTGGTTCCTACTGAAGATGTAAATATTTATCTAATTCAAATTCATAAAATAAGCTCAGTTATTTCCTTAATCTGCTGGCCACTGTAGTTTTTATCAAACATTACTCTGTTCAGGACTATTTTCAGTGGTGGACTAATACACATTTGGTGCTCTACTGAGTATTTACAGAAGCAGAATGTTGATTGACTCAAAACAAACTACAGCGCCCATGTTCTTTGTAATGAAGGAACATGCCATCCAAAGCCCACTGAGTACTTTACATGCCCTATGTATTAGCCTATATTATTGCTCTGCTCTCTCTATAGTGAGCTGCTCTTCATCGGTGGTGGAAAACCAATACAAGCACCTCCAATAATGTGCAGCCCACACCCGCTTCAGTGGGAAACATCCTGGAATAGTGAGACAGAGCAAAGGTGTCTGTATGCGAAGGGGATGCACCACTGCAGTCCAAACTCTTTATAAGTCTAAATAACTGTAGACTGCTCGGAAATACTAAAACATGAACATATGACTTGAATGAACCTATTTGATTACAACTTTATATCACAGTATTATGACTCACTATTATTTTATTCCAACAGTGGCCCTAATACTCCATTGTAGTTGACAGACTACAATTCCAGCTTTTGGTGTATGCTAATATTCTCGCTTATTTGTGGCTGACTGTTAATCATTTGTCTACCAAATACATTGACTAGACAATGACAGAAAACAGTGGTTATATTTATTTATGTTATTGCTCGAAGTAATATACTCTGCTAGTATATTATTCAGTAGTCATTAGATATACCTAATTCTATGCCCTTGTAAAAGCCCATTGGTTCCTACTGAAGATGTAAATATTTATCTAATTCAAATTCATAAAATAAGCTCAGTTATTTCCTTAATCTGCTGGCCACTGTAGTTTTTATCAAACATTACTCTGTTCAGGACTATTTTCAGTGGTGGACTAATACACATTTGGTGCTCTACTGAGTATTTACAGAAGCAGAATGTTGATTGACTCAAAACAAACTACAGCGCCCATGTTCTTTGTAATGAAGGAACATGCCATCCAAAGCCCACTGAGTACTTTATTTCTGACTAACTTGAATATGTCACCAAGATAGTGCACAGCTTTCCATCTGCATTATACCCACTATGAGGTAAAACTCACTTAGTGCCATTGCTGCTTTTCACTAGCACAGTCTCAGTCTTGGAGACAGTTGTTTTGCTGTAAAGAAGAAAATACACATCATTAAAATACTTAGTAAGCGACTGCCTGGCGTCAGGATCAATATAGTTCATTTTCTAGGCTTGATGAATGAAATATCACCTGTCTGTGGGTGAGAAATCATCCTTGATAGACGAGGGGATGCTCTCCACACTGCCCAGAAATACAGGTTAAATTGTAAGATTTAAATTCTACTGTAATTTAATTTTTTTTAATAATCTGACATTATGTTACTTTTTATTGCTGGTAACAGTTGTCTCAGTCACTTTGGTTGTTTTGGTTGGTGAGTAGGTTGAGTACACCCTATGTGAAAAAATGTTACTTCAATCAACGATCAGTTTATATGAACTTTTACTTTTGATAATTTTTACATTTGATGATACTTCTGTACTTTTAAGTAAATCAATGCAGCCTGATTCATTTACTATTAATTGAAGTTTTACGGTATTAGTATATTTTTACCCTTTGCTTGAAGACTTCACCCGCTCAGTGAACGTCTCAGTGGGACTTTTCAACACAGGGGATCTGCAAGAAAACTCAATTGTCATTAAACTGACACAGACAGTGTGATAAGATGATAATGTGTTGTAATATGACCTACCTAACACTCTGGGTGGTGGTGATGATGGTCTCAGTGGTGGTTTTTCCGTCCTTGGTGACCGTAGTGGTTGCAGTGCTAAAGGAGGAATAATACAAAACAAATTTACAAAATGTGTAAGCGTAATAATTTTTTGTGTTGGTTTGTTGTGAGTATTTGTTGTGTACCCTGTCTTAGGTTCCTCTGTGACAATAGTCTTCAATGTGGTGGTGCTATAGTGACATATATATATATGATAAATACAAAATTACACATTATATTATTGTTTCTCTGGTGGTTTTTGCATTGTGTGTGTAATAAACTTTACATACCTTTTGGGAGAATCTGACTTCAGAGTTGAATATGTGCTGCAACAAAGAGGCAGATTATTCAGATGATTTCCTAAAAAAATATCACTAGATATTGTACCATTAGGTGTGTCATTTTGGAAATGTACCTTTTGGTGTAGGTGGATGTAGTCTTGCTGGAAGGGAGGGGGCTGCTGGTAAAAAGGAAGCATTATAAAGCCACAGTTTTTGTTAAAGTTACTGTAAAAAACTACTGTATAAATACTGTACCAACCTCCTCAGCTCATCCTGGCTTCCGCCAAATCTTCAATGACAGAAATCACAATTACATGTTTTTTTTCACAATTTACTGATTCAAGTGTGTGTTTTTTTACAACTGCTAACATAATGCTTGCTAAAAAATCTAAATAAATTCAAGCTTCAGTATCATAAAAAGATACCAGAATGTTATAAAAATGATACCTCTTGCTGAGAGCATGCACAGATGTTGATGTGCTTATAGTTTTGGTGGTTTTGTTCCTTCAGCCGCTGAACTATGAACAAAAGACAATAAATTACATTAGTAAAAGGATTAATGACTCAAATTATTATTTATGTTACACCCAATTACCATAGTTTCCCATTATCTTGTCATTCATTAGAGGAAAGTTTGAAACGTTTGTTTTACCTATCAAGTGTTTCATTGGATCTGTTCCGGCCTAGAACATATTTGCCAAAGTTTGGGTCTTGGCTGAAGGAGAAAAAAAGTATAATAAAATCCAAACAGAGATGACTCAACGCAGTAACTTGCAAAAGGAATGTATAAGGAAGCTTTTAATTAAAACTAAAGGTAAACTGAGGTATGAACTACAAGTCACACCCAAAGGTCACACCCTATGTCATTCCCTGTGTGTGTGTGTGTGTGTGTGTGTGTGTGTCCATTTGCCAGTGTGGAATACTGTATATGTGTTTCAGCCATTATGTTTACATGACTTACTCGACATTTTCCTCCTCATTATCCAATTTTTTGATCCAGCTGTTATCTTTCAGCAGAGAGGTGGTCTTGGCTGCAGACACAAGACAAGGAAACTTGAGCGTCTCCTGCTCACATGTTCATTGCAGTCAGATCTTTTAAGCAGGTAAAGACTTATATTGACTTAATTTAATACAATAGAGCCTAATAAATTAGACTAATTAACATGGGCTCTGCTCCTACAAATAGCTGAATTGTGAACATTAATGATTTCATACTGTTTCAGGATTTTAATTATAATTATATTATATTGCCTTGAATTTTAATGTTTTACATTTGTTTTTCTAATTCTAATTTTTTGTCACATGCTCAGACAACATGCTCAGTGCAATGCAGGGTGCATACATGAGCTGTGCTAAAGAATAGTGTGCAAAAAAATTATTATCAAATAAGAGGTCAGATAAGAATTTGATATGAAAGGAAATGTCAAAGTCTCAAAGATAAATAAACATATCGAATATATTCAGTCTAATGTAGTATTTATTATTTTATGGCACCATGTGCACATTCTACCCTTTGAATCTTGAATTTTGTTTCTAAAGTATCTGCACTACATGGGTATTTTATAATTTGTCAATACTTACAAGTCTGGGATGAATACTTGCTCATTTTGTAACTTCACCTGTAAGTGTGAAAGAACAAGAAGGGAATCCATTACATAATGAACCACCGTTCATTAGCCACTAGGTGGTACTGTAGGCTGAAACCTTTCATTTTCAGTGCATGTCATTGCAGAGAAAGATCAGTACACGTGTCCTGTTCTGTCTTCACAAGCACTTTTCCATCAGTTGGCTTTGTGAACTTGCTATGCTGCATTTATCACTGTGCTTGACGTATATCAACTGAAGTTCAGCTCAACCCCAGACTCACTGATTAAGCCTTGAACTGGTTTGTCTTGATCCCACATGAAGACACACACACACCCTCCATAACAAACACCCTCTCCAACACACCATTGTCACCAAAACAGAGGGGCGTTAAGGTGACATGCCATTATCTAGTAATGATAAGGACTGTTCCCCTTTGACTGCATGCGTGGTCCAGCTCAAGTGCTTCCATATCAGAAACCTTAAGGCAGATATCTATAGCTTAGATGCAACGTTTGTCCAATTATCAGTTATACAGTCTGTATACTGTCCGATGAGTGCTATTTGTCCAAAAACAATGTGTTCAGTGTTGGTTTTGTCTGTATTACTTTGGCTTGTGTGAAGTAGTTCGCAAGTCTATCTAACAGCTGTCTAGAGGTAAGAGCTAAAACAGAACTGGCCATCTTTGAACTGCTGAGATTGTTGACCATTGTCCAAAATAAATGAATTTTTAGATATTATGTAGAATCTCTTGTTTACATGCCCAGTTTGGGCTGTTCCAACTGAACATGTTAACACTTAAA